CAGTGCTTTATTATTCTCCTCATGAGAAAGCTTTTCATAATATCTGACCTAAACTTCTCTTTCTACAACTTGAGACCATTGCTCCTTGTTCTGTCATCTGCCATCACTGAGAACACCCTAGCTCCATCCTCTTTGGAACCACCCTTTGGATAGTTGAAGGCTGCTATTAAATCGTTCCTCGGTCATTTCTTCTCCAGACTAAGTCTACTTTTCTCAGCCTCTCCTCAGAAGTCATGTGCCCCAGCCCTCTAACAATTTTCATTACCCCCTGCTGGACTCTCTCCAATTTGTCCACATACTTTCTGTAGTGGGGTGGCCCAAAACTGGACAGAGAATTCTAGATGTGGTTTCACCAGTGCTGAATAGAGGGAAAGAAACACTTTCCTCAGTCTACTGGCAAGACTCCTATTAATGCAGCCCAGTATGTCATTAGCCTTCTTCTCAACAAGGGCATACTGTTGGCTGTTGTCTTTAAAGACCTATTAAAGGAAGCTACTGAGCAGTTCCATACCATGAAATTTCATTCACATTTCCCCTCCTATTGCTTTATCTGGTTTAGTTCATGGTCAAGGGCTTACTGCCTGGCTCATTTACTTAGAGATGCATGGAAATGAGGAATAGGAATGCTCCTCAAAGTTTCAGTATAGATGCTGATCTCATTTGCTGAGGTCACTTCTGCCTAATGACAATCAGAAAATGTCCTGATGATTTGCCATAATGGATCATTATGCAAATATTTTATTTAAAAGGTCTACAGTAAACTGTAACAATCCTACTACACAGTAGTTACTGTCTATTTTTGAGAACAATTGACTCTATCAGACATGGTAACAGTGAAGATAAAACACAAAAGTAATCAATTGTACAAATCCCTAAATCTATCTATCCATACAAAATTATTTGCATCGATGACCAATTCCACTGAGTTGAGGGAGGTTAGTTCAGACTTTCAAAGAGCTGCCAAAACATTCCTTATTAACTAACTTCCTAACCATTGGCTATAATGTTAACTGAACAGGAACTCAAAATTACTGCTTCGTCTCTGTAGCTGTCTGTAAACTAGAGCTAAATTCTTCAAGGATCAGATCCAAAACTTTTACCAGAAATAATGGAGGTGCAGTCCTATTCCTATAATTCTTGGCTACTTGCAAGAGGATCTATATCTACATTACAGTCACAATCCAGGCAACTGCATGTTCTGCAGTCCAAAAGAGATTTAAAATTAATTCTTCAATAGTTGTTGAGAGATACTTGTCTTACATTCTCATTCACAAAATTTACAGAGGTGGACCAGATGGAACCAGGAGATAGGATCATCTCTCTGACTAGGAAGACAGATGACACAGGGCTCAAATTGCGTGAAAAGCTGTCATCAGTACAGGTATATTATGAAACAGACAACCGCTAATCCTACTAGTTTGGGAGGGCCTTTGACCTTGGAATCAAGGTGGTTCAGTAATCAGCCAACAACTCTGTCTCCTGATGATCCACTCCCTAGGCCAATGAAGCACAAGTTACATCCAAAAAGGAGAATTTCTCATCCTGCGAATACCACAGTTAGTAAATTCTTACTGACCTCCAATAAAACAACCTTTGGCATTAGATAAAAGCAACTGCCAAATGATACGCAAACCTCTCAAGCTATGACAACAATCAGTCCACAGTAGCTCTTGTTGGGGATGGCACATCTAACTTCAACCAAGCTTATGCCAATACTCATCTGTATTTACAAAAGGAACATGTGTTACTGCTGGCAGAAGGAATGGATAGATGTTTCTCGGAGTGGTAGCTTTTAAGCTGTCAAACCAAGCAATAACAGCTAACCTACCACACCATCAATTTTTAAATGGTAGTTCCAATTCATCCTGCAGTGCATGATGCCTACAGTTAGTATGGTGGTGTGGCTTGTAAGCCTACATGGGCTCCATTTTGTCCTAGTCATCAGAAATAAGTTCCTGCAAGAGCAAACAATGACTGCTGCTGTTGTAATTTCCCTCTCCTTGTCACCAGTCTCCTGGGCTCAGAAAGGGTATCATTAAACTAAAGAAACAGGTGCAGTTTGAAACAAAGTCAGCTAAGGTAGCTAACTGATTTGAAAACACCTTATTTTCCTAAAAAATACAAGCTCCCAAGAGCTTATCAATGCTACATATTCATTTTTTTTAAACTTCTATTGCCAGTGTCATGGAAATAAAATCATTTAAAAAAAAGGTTTGAGACATATGATGTAAATTATAATTTGGCTCATTATGGACAAACTAATAAATTGCATTATGATTTGTCTCATAGAAAGGGTAACAGTAGACTCAAAGGATGGTACAGTCATGACTCCCTGGCAAGTGGAAGTCAGTGCATTGCAGAAGTGGAAAAAATATTTCTCATTCACTCCCCTTAAAGACAGCTTGTATTCTTGGGAGTGCATACGACTCTGTATTCCCTAAGAACAGGAACTGAGACTGGCTATGGTGCCAGTCCTCTACTGTAGACCCATGTAAGAACCAAAGATAATGTGGTCCTTTGGGGCAAGTGTAGCAACTACAGTTGTAGATACTATGATAACTATTTTTGCAGTAACATTCAGAATTCAACAGATTTTTCAGAGCGTGATTGAAATTACTGACGTGTTCTTTCACAGGAGAAGACTGTGATGTTTTCCTTCTTTTTCATAAGGAGCTCTTCATTAGCAAAATTTACATCCTTCAAGCTGCAAGAAATTAAACAACTAGGAATTCTAGCATACAATTTAGCTTCATTTCTCTGTGAAACTGCAGTATCTCCTATCTCTGTGCACCTGTATTTGTTTATGTTTGCACTTCCAATAAAACATCACACCTGCTCTTTTGGCTGTGGTTGGGCAGCATTTGTATCTTAAGGCTTTAAGCTGTCTGAAAAAATAGCACACAAAAATTACTCTGAGAGCCAAATCTAACTATTTCTCAGTGATTAAGTGTCTTTCTATTAACTACATATCTAAAAATATACCTCTCTTTTTACTGTGTTTTTTCCTCCTAGTAATTTGAAGTACTTTGGAATAATTTGCATTGATGTGCCATGGGCTTTGCTGAAATTGTTGTATATGGATGTAAAGAATATGTTAAAAATGTGAATTAAATATAGTGATACATGCTTTACTCTGTAGACAACCTGAAACAATAGAACAATAATTAAGTCTAGTGTAAAATATCCTACTCTTCTCATCTTTATATGGTGTTATTATGCAAGCTTGATGACAACTTAAATGTTGGCATTTTTTTCTCCACTAATCAATTTATTGGTATTTACCACTTTTAGGTGCCCTGTACACATAACAGGTATCATGCAATTAACTGGTTAACTGCACAATTACCTTAAGACCAGCTACATGTGCAAAGTACTTATTCACAATAAAAAGCTCCAATGAGCTATAAAATTAAACCTTGAAAACATGTACTAACTTTATAGCTGGCTGCTATCGAGCTTTAATGTGCACTTGTAGTGAGGTCTTCTCTGCAGCTGTGAGCCCCATCAGCTGACAAGCTCCCAGCTGCAGGAGTGCACCATGCTCAGTGTGAAACCCTTGAGCCCATGGGATCATGACAGCCACAAAATCCCCCAGGCTCAGGGTGGGGGTAAAACCTCCCCAGGCACAACCAGGACCAAGCACCCCATCAAGCATGCGACTCTCAGTTCTGGTTGTGCACAGACCCCATGGCTGGAAACCCCATCAGCAAAGGGGGCTCCCTACTGCAGGAGCCTAATTCTTGCCAATGCAGAGGTAACCCAGGATCAGGCTCCCCCTACACTGGGAAATGGTGCAATTAGATTTAATGTGCAGTTGTGTGGATCGTGCAGTAAATTCAATCATGCCTTTACCTTTGTGTGTAGCTACAGCACTTGCCAATGAGTGTTGGAAAAAAAACAGAGGGATTTCCCTCCTTTTCTTACTTCATAAAATAGAAAATATAAAACTGGAGTTAAAATCTTTCCATATGGATGACCCATATTGACCCAGGTACAGAATCCTTTGAGCATTAACAATCATTTGCTTAATGACACACATAATTTTAATTAACAATACGTTACATGCATTCATCTAAAATTTTGTCCAGATTCTCACTGTTGTCAGGTTACAGGAATAGCTATTCACGTATTCATTGCTACTAAAGACCAACACGATGTTGTTTGCATTGTTGGATTTTAAGCTTTAATTTAAATTTCCCACGGGATTTTTAGTGACACCAAAACCATACTTCCACTGCTAAGTATGAAATGCCAGACCCATTTTTGTGATAACACAGCAGTCCATGAATTTTATGTATTACAGTATACATTGATAGCAACTGTGCAACTACAATCTCCAACTCCTTCCTCTTTGCAAGGCTTTAATGAAGTATGAAGAGTTTTTACAACTAAAAATACCAAACTTCTCCCAGAAATAAAAAAGAAAAATAGCTCCTGAAATAAAACTTTTCATTCAGTGTGAAGTAACAGTCAGAAAACATTCAGTTTTGCTCCCCACAAAAATCTGCTGTACGTGTACTGTTCTACAACAATTCTGCCAATGCCCCAGAATGCTATGCTGATGAGTGCTTTTTAAAGTAATAAGCTTAAATTTAAAGGGCACAACTCAGCATAAATATAAGTTGTGTGCATGTAGCCAAGGGCAAAATCTGGCACAAAATATTTCAGAAAGATGAAAACATAGTGCCCAAGCCCCACCCCCTATCCCCCCCGCCCCATTTTATGAGTGAAGTGTAATGGAATAAAAAAAAGCTGTATTTGTAACCACATAAAAACCTTCTGCATTAATGCCCGGAATTTCAGTGAGAATATTGGAAATAGTGGCAAAACAGGAAAGCTACAGGGCATCCGCAGTGACTGAACCACATAATGTAATTAAAACCAGTAATAAATAAGCCACTAGAAAGGAACAGAAACAAGGTAGTTATTAATTAAAAGGGTATAATGTTCCCAACTTGCAAGCTGGCAGCCTCAACTTTAGTTTAGAAGAGTTACAGTACCTTTTTGGTTTTCATACTGTTCTGACAACAGATGGTAGCAGCAGCCCACACTACAAACTGCCTTGATTTCAGGCGTAGCAGTAAAAATTCGCAGTGTATTTGGAGCAAGATCTCCACATGTATGTAGACCCACCATTATGCAGTCCTAAAAATAAAATAAAAACAAATAAAAATAGTTCTTTTCAACTGAGAGGGAGACAACAAAAACAGTTCAACCAGATACGCTGCAAATAGCTAAACTGCTGTAAGTTTTTAATAAATAAGCTCATGAGGACTCCTGGTGTCCTATTCTGGAAATTTTTGCAGAATACTGTGAACACTTGAGTACTAATGAAATGTGAAACTCTTTCCTTTAAAATACCATCAAGGAATGGAAGTGTTCTTCACTCTGTTGGAGTTGTGGGGATACTCTTACTTGTACTTTCTTTGGCTAGGACAAATCAAAGTCCAACACCCGTAACTGACTCTGAGTCAGTTGTCTGGTTATGCAGAGAACAATACTGGCCATTTTCCTTCGCAACATTATTATTATTTTTTTCTTTACTTTTAGATTTTTACTTAGTGATTCCTACTTTAACATGTTTCAAACTACCTATGACAATTCTACTGCTTATCAATGCCTGAATAGACATGCGCTGTGCTTCCTACCTAAAATGGAAAATAGCAAGTAATTTGAGGCAGAATATGTATTCTGTACTTTTTAAATTTTTATTTTTATTTTTATTGTGAGGTACATTTTCTCTGTAAGAACCTATACTGGAAATGAATGGTCAGTGGCCACATACAGGTGTTACGTTTTTTCTAATGTATGAACTTCCATCTCTTACTGTTGTCCCTCCAATAAGCCTTTTGCCATCTCACATTACCACTGAGCAGAAAGAATTGCAAAGTTAACATCTAGTTTACAATTAGATAACACCCTCTCTCCCCCTCCATCTGTTTCTTCTTTGTGTTTCATTCCCTGTTTCAGCCTGTAAGAAGTTCCACCTAGCTTGCTCCATGCACTTGTTATCTAATGGTTGGCTAGGGGTACATACACATGTAATAATTTTCTGATAGTTAAGCCAGTTTAACATTTTTAAGTCAATTTAACTGTCAGAGCACACACACGTGTTATGGAGCAGAGTTGATTTAAATGTAGTGCAAGATAATACACCTTGGAGGTATATTATCTTGAGTCACACTAAATAAGTTGACTTAGTTCACAAGATGGCTGCTGTCATGTCAAAGAGCTGTACACGTGTACGCTCCAATGTGGCTTAAGTTGACTTGGTTAAATCGACTTAGTTAAGTCACCTTATTTTAAGTTGACTTAGTATGTATGTATGCACCCTAGATGTACACTTTGCAGTACTTTCTGCTCAGTGGTAATACGAGATGGCAAAAGACTATTGGAGGGACAATAGAAAGATGCAAGTTCGTGTGCTGGAAAAAAACAGCATTTAAATCCTGCAGACTGGAAAAACTGGACAGAATTATTCCAAAAGCAAGATAGTAGAAGGTGGCCACAAGATACAGGAGATATGAAAAATCTGTTAAAGTAATCTATAAATTCTGGTAGTTCAAAAGGCAAGTATCTCTTCCCTATCCTAGTATAATCAATTACACTTTTGTAGCCCCACCAATTTAGGACCTCATTCATTTACCTGAGAGCAGATTCTGGTTCTATGACTTAAGACCAGTACATCCACCCACTAGAATTCAGTAGCTCTAAAATATATGTGCCTTTTCTTATAACTGCAATCCAATATTTTTTTCAATGAGTCAAATAATTTTGAAGTTTCACCAAATAAATCAGAACTACTTCCATTTTCCCCTAAATATCCTCAGAATTTGGGAAGACTGCAAAAAGCACATATTGTTGCCAATACCAACAATATCATATATTAGCAGATATTATGCCCTCCTTAGGCCACATCTAGTGCTGTGCTAAGCAGCTACATGACATCTATTTCATTGTGTAGTGTGCACAGTCGTTCTTAGCATTGTTCTCTGATAGTGTCACCATCTTGTTTCATCTTGTAAACACCCAGGTGAACAACTGACTATAAATCAGCTTTTGTGGAAACTGGTCAGGTATGAACCCAACCCCGAGTATTTAGGAGTCCACTTCAACCAGGCTCACCTATAAGCATCATCTACAAATAACTAAGAACAAACTTGCCATACATAATAATATAATCTCAAAACTGGCTGGGATGAGTTGGGGAAGTGATTCTGAAGCTCTTAGAACATTGCTGCTGGCCCTTGCTTATTCAGCAGCTGAGTACTGTCTTCCAGTTTGGGGCAGGAGCACTCATACCAGCCTCAGTGACTCTCAACTGAATAAAACACTGAGATTCGTAACAGGTACTTGCAGATCCACTCCTGTTCCTTGGCTGTCTGTTCTATCCCATATCCGTCCTCCTGATCTTTGATGTAAACAGACTACTTTAAGAGTCTACAAAAAAACTGCCTACATTTAATACACTATCAATTTTTGAGGAACTTAATGATCTCCCTAAACCAAGGCTTAAGTCGAGAAGGCCACTTTGGGGTGCGTGAAGAGAGCTGAATGGCAAGAACTCTGACATCATTGTACACACTTCACATCAGTGTAAATACTTATATAAACTGCAGGGCACTGAGATCAGCTCATTATTACTATTATACCACAATCAGTTTAAAAATAGTGATAACCATCCAAACTATAAAAATACTGTTTGCATTTATTCTTCCAGACTTTTACCAGAGGCACATTACTAAATATATTTAAATAATTAAGGAAAGGTTAAATAAACATTAGGACCAAGATTAAAAGAGTACTGTATAAACCACTTAAGATACCCATGGGTAAGGCAATTTGCCATTTAAATTATGCAAATGGCAGAATCCATTTGCCAAATTCCAGTAATTTCAATATTAATATTCCTGCAGGTATGCTACTCCTCGCAGGAACAGCCTACTCTTAGCTGTTTGCACCTTATAAAGGCAGGATACATTATTAGTTGCCTTCTAAAAGAAGCCTTGAAATTGACATGATCTAGGTACTTTCAGGGCTGGTAACAGCCTAGCGCTGAGAGCAATGGAAATTGCCCAAAAAGATTAATCACCAACTCTCCTTGCTAGGCAGTGTTCTGATTACAATGGATAGGCTGATTTGGCAAATAGTCAAGTTAACACGTTTTGTAAGATTCCTTTTTTTAACTGCAACTCATTAAAGAGATCACTGTGAGCCAGGCCAGTCTCTTGCTGCATTTCCTATCCTGTCCTTGCATTGGGATAGCCTGCTCTGCATTCTTAATAAGATTTCTTTAAGGTACAACCAGCTCTCTTGCACTTATTTTGCCCTTTGACTTGGTTCCATAAAATCCTGCCTGGATTCCTCAAATTTGTAAATGTCTGCTTTTATGAAGTCCAGTGTTTTTATTCTGCTGTTCTTCTTCCTTCAATTTTTTTGACTGCCTCAATACTTTTGTGGATTGAGCCCTTTTACTAGACAGCAGTTTACCAAATTCTTCTAAATAATTAATTAGAATAAAAAATATATCATTAGAATATATGCAGAATCAGAATATAAATTATTGTAGGGTAGCTGAAAAATATGTTTTAACTACATTTTAAATGTTAATTTTAGCTACACTTCAGAGCCAATCCAAAATGGTCTAACAGATGCACTAAAATAAGAAAACAGTGAATACATCAGCAAGAAATGCAGTATTGAGTCAGAATTGTCTGCTTGCTCACACAGCTGACAGCATTCTATATCCACTCTGCACTATGACAGTGACTACCCAAGATGTAAGGCAACATAAAATCAAACAATAATAGTTGAAAAATATAAGTGAAACAACCTCTAGATCTGTAATGATGTCAGAGAGTTCTGTTCCCGCAGTGATATATGAGGTCAATGGAAAATAAATGTTTGATTCATTTGACTTGCTCGCTCTGGCCTTGATGGAGGCTATTTTTCTTTGTTCTTTTTCATCTTCAGAGAGCTCTAGGTAGTTATTTTTGGATGAAGTACCTTCTATAGCATCACTAGGCAGGATGTTCATAATAGAAAAGGCATTTTCAGAAAGTTTGTTCTTATAAGACTGTAGCTGTGCCACTCCATGAAGTTCAGTTTGTTTGCTGGTTTGAGACATTTCAGAGTCTGTGAAAACTCCAGTACTTTCCAGAGGAATTGAAGCTGAAGTAGCCAGATGATCCTCCCCATGAAGATGGTTGTTAGCATTTAAGAGGTCTTCATTGATATTTGATTTACATTTCATTTCATCCTCCACTGGCCCTTCCTTTGCCTCTTCCACCACTTGGCCTTTGACACCTGTTTTTGCCCGACTTTGATAGGCTCTCCAGTGTTTCTTCAATTTCCTATTCCGTTCATTAGCTCCATGAGTATTGGTGCTTGAGGAATCAATTCCATAAACCTTTAAGTTATATTGCATGGATAAAAAGGAACTCAGGTAGCCTTTTCCAGAACCAAGGTCAATCACCTAGGGTAAGGGAAAAAAAGGAAAAAAAATAGCATGTACCGTATTAATGAATAATAAATAAACAATGTTTCATTCAAATACTAAGAGTGAGTACCCCACCCTTCCAAGAAAAATAAGTTTAACTTAGTTTATTTTCCACTTATTTCTGCTAACAAATACTTTATTGATCAGGTTCTGGTTTTAAAAAAGAAAACTGTTATTTCTATAAGACAAAAATGTTAAGCTGTTTTGTTCTACACCATAAACGTAGTCAATGAGATAACCATGACTCTAAATGTCCTAGCGTTTCATACATGGCTTTTAATGTACGTTTTGGCACAGAAGTTCCTTTTATAAAGGGGAAAAGAGGATGGTGTGGGCATGTTTGGCGTACTCTGGCAGCCTATTCTGGGCAGCTAACCCAAAGTATGTCATCCCCATGGCAAGATTTTTCTTGAAGTGACACACACAGGACTCCAGAGCTCACACGCTGGATTTTTCCAGCTGTCAGCTGATGGGAAGGGATGCCTGGCCAGAATGTGTAGGCTGAAAGTTTAGAATCCTTAAGGTTTTCAGGGCAAATGTGCATCTACATAGACTAGTGGTGAGTGAGAGACAAGACATACTTCGGTTATAATTTCTATAAATACATTTTACTTGCATTTTAGTCTCCACCACCATAAGATCCAAAACAAAAGAAAATAAAGTCTGTGGAATGTTTTTGCCAGTGATGAAAGAATGATAGGCTAAATTTCAAAGATGGATATTACTGCAGCACAGAAAATGTCACAAGTCTTTTCATGCTTGCATCTCTAAAACATATTGTATTCTTTCTATGAAATAAACCCACTGGACAAACTCAGTGAATTGTCTGAAAACTTATTTATTTTAAACAAATATGCAAACTGTTTCTAGCTTATTTGTTGCCAAGTTGAAAAATATACATATGTTCTTTATATGCATGTTAAACAAAATATTTATTAAAAAAAGGCAGTGATTTGATGTTGAAACAGAAAGACTGGATTGAATTAATTCCTGCT